TTTGGTCCCGAGGTGGCAGTACTGCCAAAGAAACTGTTGAAAGAACAGTTGAAACGGCTTCCTCTTCTTTCTCAGCTGCACGTAGATAGCCTACGGAGTCGGAACACATTAACCTCGTAATTGGGGGAAATTGGATAATAAGAGAAAAGAATGGATTACCTTACATACTTTTTCTCAGACCGTGATGTTTAATAATGACCGTTGAGTACGGAGTGTAGTGGTGAAAACGTATTACATCGATATGATGGAGACTAACCAAGGGAAAAAGACACTGCAGTGTGGCTGGCCATTTTTTTATCTTGTGGTTCTGTCGTTGTTCTGCAAAAGAGGATCTTGTCAAGTCCGTTACTCCATCCAGGAGGAATTACCGCTCGGCACCGTAGTAGGGAATGTGGCTAAAGACGTGGGGTTGGATAGACGCGTGTTGGTGGATCGGAATCTGCGTATTGTAACAGGAACAAAGCAGGAGCTTTTCCAGGTAAACCAGAGTGACGGTGCTTTGTTTGTTAACCAGAGAATAGACAGAGAGGACCTATGCGGTAAGACGTCTCAATGTTTTATTAATCTTAAAGCTGTGGTACAGAATCCATTAGAAATGCATCAGATTACTGTTCAGATTTTGGATGTCAATGACCATTCCCCTACTTTCCCCAGTAAAGAGAGTCGCATTGAAATTTCTGAATCCGCCACGCCTGGAACTCGCTTTCAGTTAGAAGGTGCTAGAGACCCAGATGTAGGCGTAAATGGGTTACGATTGTATAAACTGGAGCAAAATGAACATTTCCGATTGGAAGTAGAGGATCTCAACGAGAATAATAAAATTCCTTTCTTAACGTTACAAAAGGCACTGGACAGGGAAGACAAACCGTATCTCAATTTACTGCTGACCGCTTTGGATGGGGGCAGTCCTTCGCGAACTGCTACTTTGAACATTGCTGTAATCGTTTTAGATGTAAATGATAATGCACCAGTTTGTAACGAAAAGAAATACACAGTGACTATAACGGAAAATTCCCCAGTAGATACTGTAGTCTTGCAAGTGAATGCGACTGATTTGGATGACGGCGCCAACGGAGAAATAACATACTTATTTGGAAATAAATTCAGAAGCAAAGCGACAGAATTGTTTGATTTAGACAGAAAAACTGGAGAAATAAAAGTTAAAGGTCTTGTTGATTATGAATTGGAACACATTTATGAAATAAATATTGAGGCTTCAGATGCCGGACCAGTCCCATTATCTACACATTGCAACGTTTTTGTACATGTAGAGGATATGAATGATAACAGACCGGAGATAGACATTACCTCGCAGTCCAGCCAGATTCCTGAGAACGCGCCTGTAGGTACCGTGGTGGCGCTGATCGGAGTAACCGACCTGGATTCAGGTGTGAATGGACAGGTAGTTTGTACGCTGCCCGAAGACGTGCCGTTTGAACTGAAACATTCAAATGAGGACCATTTCTATTCCTTAGTGACAACCAGAAGCTTAGATAGAGAGTTGGTACCACAGTATGAAATAATTATAACAGCGAGGGACCTGGGATCCCCTTCGTTATCCTCAGTTAAGACAGTCCGCGTGGAATTATCAGACGTTAACGACAACAGTCCGGTCTTCTCACAGAGTCCCTACACCTTCTATATAATGGAAAATAACGAGCCTGGTGCATCGATATTCGCCACAAGTGCTTCTGATGCAGATGAGAATGAAAATGCCCGAATTTCATATTCCCTGGAACATGTAATTTCAGGTCAAAGTGTAACATCTTTCTTAAACATTAACCCTGATAATGGTAACATATACGCATTGAAAAGCTTTGACTTTGAAACACTGAAAACCTTCCACTTCCAAGTGGTAGCTAAAGACTCTGGAAGTCCGTCACTAAGCAGCAACGTCAGAGTTAATGTGTTTATTCTGGATCAGAACGACAACGCTCCGCTCATCCTGTCTCCAGTCAGCACTAATGGATCTGCTGAGGGTGTGGTGGAGATTTCTCGAAATGTGAACGCAGGTCATTTGGTGACTAAAGTTAGAACCTACGACCCCGATATAGGATACAATGGCTGGTTGTCATTCTCTCTGCAACAAGTTACAGACCCCAGTCTGTTTGGCTTGGAGCGCTACACAGGACAGATAAGAACACTTCGGCCATTCAGCGAATCAGACGAAGTTGTACATAAACTGGTTGTACTGGTAAAAGACAATGGGAACATCTCACTGTCAGCTACAGCGACTGTATTTATTCATGCAGTGGAGATCAAAGAAGCATTTGCATCGTCCAATATTAAAAGCAGTGAAAAAACAGATGAGCAGAACAACATCACATTGTATCTGATGATCTCACTGGGCTCAGTTTCAGCGCTTTTTGTATTCAGTATAATCGGCCTGATAGTCATGCAGTGCTCTAAACCTCCAGAATATTCCTCCAAGTACTCACATGACTCCAACTGTGTGGACACTAGCGGGAACGGAACTCTGTGTCACAGCATCCAGTACAGATCCGGAGAGAAACGATACATGCTAGTTGGACCCAGGACAAGTATAGGTTCTACTATTGTCCCTGGAAGCAACGGGAACACTCTGGTGGTCCAAGAATACAATAAGAGAGTTTCTGGCGAGGTAAGACTTATTTTAACACAATCTAACAATTAACACAGATTTAATAAGGAGGCCTACTGCACAACATAGTTTTTGGAGTAAGCCTACGTTTGTGGTATTTCTTTTCCATTTGCAATTGCAGTCAATCTTTCTGCATTGTGACTTTCCTCGTGGCTGCTTTGATAGACCTATATCATGTTAGCATAACATATTAAATGGGTTTTTTGTGGGGGAGTTTTGCGAAAGCCGGCAGACAACACACAAAACTTTAGCAACTCATAAATAGCCTACATAAAACATACAGTGCTGAATCGGAAGACTATAAGTGTGTTTACAGCAGGTTCTCACGCGATATCTTGGGTGTTTGTATCTCGCATTTCTTGAATGTTTTCGCTCCTCCTCTCTAATGCTCGCTTACCTCGCCAAGGAGATCAAAAATGATTTGTGTGTTTTTTTTCCCAGATCACTGGGGGCCTCCACCCCTAAACCCCGCAATATGGAAGGCTCGACTGTATTTGTTGTTAGAAAATGTTTGCATTACATAGGCCCATATTTCTGAATTTTATCTGACATTCTTCCTTATTTCTCCAAAGTCTCTAGCATCTAAAGTAACCATCGCTTTTGTTTGTATTCATAAGAAATGTCAAAGTTTAGTAGACTGCTATGTTGGTATATAAGTTTTTATTTTTTGCATGAAGAGCTCAATATTCTTTTGGTTCGTGACTCATTGGAATAATTACCTAAAGTTTGAACCAACCCCTACTTCAGTGTTCATTTCTCAGCTTATCTTAAATATTTTTCAGGACACTTAAACTCCCTGTAGTCAGTGCTTACTGCAGCTTTGAATTTAGTGCAGATATTTTGTTTTGATTCTCTAGTTTTGAGTCAGGACGTCACGCTTTTGTTTCTTTCCATTCATTTTCCAGTTTTGTTTAGCTTCTTGTTTTCTGCTCTTTTGTTATTATTTTATTGTACAACATAGTCTTTGTACATATGCCTTTGTATTCAGCACTTGAGTCAAGTTCAGCTGCCTTAGTTAGGTACCTTGCAGGCAGTAGCACCAGTCTTGTCAGTGTGAATTCAGAAATGACACCACAGCGCTCTAGGGTAGGAGGGCCAAAGTCCAATCCTGGGGGGCTGGAGCCCTTTGTAGCTTCGTTCTTTCCCTTTTCCACCACAAAGGACCCAGCACAATAGCTGTGTGGTTAGTAGCACAAGCAGATGCAAGGAGTTGAATCAGGTGCGTTAAATGAGGGGAAACCCAAAAGTGTGCTGGGCTCCGGCCCCCGAGGACTGCGGTTTGACTCCTCTGACCTAGGGGGCGCTCCTGGGGATCTTTTCTGCCATGAATTTAGAGATGCGCCACTTCCTGTTATCCCGCACCTGCCGCGTTCCAAGCTAGCATTCATGATGCTGCATTCAATTCGTACTTAGTACGTACCGTCGATAGTTTGTGTTCTGTCTCACTCTGTAATTGCCGTAAAGCGCTCTTGCACATACACTGCATGGGCCTCTCTCTCTTCTTACTATATGTCCTTATCTTTCAAATTATAATCACAACATTCTTCTTGTATTTGAGCTATAAGATGCTTCATTTTGCTGCTGTTTGCGCCTTAATTTTTCCCTGCGGTTACATACAATTTTATCTAATCCAAATAAAAAACCTTCCTGAAATAGTATACATTTAGCAAGGAAAGATGTAGTGTATTACTATTTACAGGTGTTTAAAATGATCAAGTAAATTACGAGTTTTATATGGCGTGGAGCCGGGAGGCGGCGCTGTTGTCAAAGGAATAGAATAAAATCGACGAGGTTCGACGTTATAGACAATTGTTACCAGAAATAAGCTCAGTGACCGAGTGGACCACAGAGGAAGAAGTGGGGATCTGCTAAACCGCTAGAAAAACATTTAATGCAGCAAAGGATCATTCATATGTATTTTGAATAAAAGTAAGCATGATTTTAATTGAATTTTGTTTATATATTGGTGGATAATATCTGCGATGCGGATCCAGCATTGGAGGAAGAGACGCCAATGTCTCCATTTTGTGATTTTTATATTGCTGTGTCAACGGACTTTTCAAATTCGATACGCCATTCAGGAAGAACTGTCTCTCGGAGCCGTGGTAGGGAATGTGGCTAAAGACTTGGGATTGGACACGCGCGGGCCGGAGGAACGCAACCTCCGTATTGTGACGGGAACAAAGCAGGACCTTTTCCAGGTAAATCAAAGAGACGGAGCCGTATTTGTGAACCAGAGGATAGACAGAGAGGACCTGTGCGGTAAAACGGATCCATGTTATATCAATTTAAAAGCTGTGATAGAAAACCCCTTAGAAATACACCATATTACTGTACAAATTTTAGATGTTAATGATCATTCCCCTAGTTTTACTGACAGAGAATATCGTTTAGAAATCCCCGAGTCAACAGTAACCGGAGCACGATTCCAGCTTGAAGAAGCACAGGATACAGACATCGGACTGAATGCTTTGCGTTCATATAAACTGAGTCAGAACGATTACTTTGTTTTGGAAACAAGGGATTTGAGAAAAGATAGCAAAATCCCATTTCTAATATTGCAGAAGTCGTTAGATAGAGAAAATATCGCACGGTTTAATGTAACATTGACAGCTGTAGATGGTGGTATCCCACCGAAAATTGGTAGTCTAAATATTAATATTACTGTTCTAGATGCTAATGACAATGCCCCCGTCTGTGATGAGCAGCAATATACAGTTGTAGTAAAAGAAAACATTCCTGTTGGTACCTTTTTGATTAAAATCAATACAACAGATTTAGATGAGGGAGGTAACGGTGAAGTGGAATACTCATTCAGAAATGCATTCAGGAACAAAGTAGGCGATCTTCTAGAACTGAACTCTAAAACCGGAGAATTAACAGTAAAGGGACTAATAGATTTTGAGGAAAGTAAAAATTATGAAATTAATATTGAAGTTTCTGATAAAGGTGCATTACCATTAAAAACGCAATGCAACGTATTTGTGAAGGTGGAGGATGAGAATGACAACAGACCTGAGATAGACATCACCTCCTTGTCCAGTCACGTTCCCGAGAACGCGCCTGTAGGTACCGTGGTGGCGCTGATCGCAGTAACTGACCTGGATTCAGGTGTGAATGGACAGGTGGTTTGTACGCTGCCCAAAGGCATGCCGTTTGAACTGAAACATTCGAGTGAGGACAATTTCTACTCGTTAGTAACAAAGAGCCGCTTAGACAGAGAGTTGGTACCACAGTATGAGATAATTATAACAGCGAAGGATATGGGATCCCCTTCGTTATCCTCCGTTAAGACAGTCCGCGTGGAATTATCAGACGTTAACGACAACAGTCCGGTTTTCTCACAGAGTCCCTACACCTTCTATATAACGGAAAATAACGAGCCTGGTGCATCGATATTCAAAATTAGTGCCTCTGATGCAGATGAGAGTGAAAATGCTCTAATTTCCTATTCATTTGGGAACGTAATTCCAAGTCAAAGTGTAAC